TCTCCATGTTAAACACTTTTTTTAATACCACAAAGTTTGTTAATCTGACCACTGCTCCAACATGCAGTAGCCAAAACCATGTTGCCATGACAATTCTTTATGTCCCTGTATCTCTCCATCTTGATTTCTTACTCCTACTGCTCTTCAAGCCCCCTTTCCCTCCCTCCTGACATTGTTCTCATGGCCATCTGTGCCTTACCCAGCTGGTTTCTCCTCCATGTTTCCAGTCAGTGTAGCCCACAGCCCTGTGCGTGGAGCAGCATTGACAGCTTCAGTGGTCTATTTCCGACCCTGTTGCAAGGAAGCAGGGGGAGAGCTTGTGGAGCAGTGTTTATAGAGTATATAGTAATGTCCTAGGCCTTCACATTCACTCACCGCTCACTGACTCACCCAGAGCAACTTCCAGTCCTGCAAACTCCATTCAGAGTAAGTGCCCTATATGGCTGTACCATTTTTTATCTTTTATATCATATTTTTCTTGCATTTTTTCTATGTTTAAATGCACAGATACTACCATTGGGTTACAATTACCTGCAGTACTCAGTACAGTAACGTGCTGTAGAGGTTTGTAGCCTAGTAGCAATAGGCAATATTGTACCATATAGCTTAGGTGTGTAGTAGGCTACTGACTGAATAGGTTTGTGTAAGTGCATTGTATGATATTTGTATAATGACAAAAATCACCCAGTGAAGCATTTTTCAGGACCTGTCTTGTTATTAAGCAATGCATAACTATATGCTGTTTCTGTTGGGTAGAGTGGCTGTAAATGTCAATGAGGTCAAGTTGGTAGTAGTGCTGTTCTGTATCAACACTGTATAATTAATGACTTGCTGTCTGTTTATTCTGTCAACTGTTGAAAGAAGGCTATTGAAATCTTCAACTACAACTGTGTATTTCTTTTTGTAGTTCTATTAGTTTTTGCTTTATGTATTTTAAAGCTCTGTTATGATGCACATATATATTTAGAATTGCTATGCCCTCTTAATAAATTGACTTCTTTGTCATGAAATTTTTAATCTCTGAGAATATACTTTGCTCTAAAATCTAGTCTGCTTGATATCAATACAGCTACTACAGATTACTTTTGATTAGTGGTTGTTAGCATATTTATATATGTGTGTTTTATATCATATACTTTTAATTTATTTGATCTATATCTATATATATGTGTGTAAATAGCATGTATTTGATCTTGCTTTCTTATTCATTCTGGCAATCTTTGCCTCATAGTGAGGATGTTCAGGACATACACATTTAATGCAATGATTGGTATGCATAGGCTTGTGTTTAAATGTTCTATTGTGCCTTTTCTTCTGTTTGTCTTTTCTGTTACCTTCTCATATTCTGCTTTCTTTTGGATTCAGTATTTTTTTATTCCATTTTATAATTTTTGTTGCCTTATTAGCTATAATGCTTTTTGTGTGATTTTAGTGAGTGCTTTGGTGTTTACAGTATATATCTTTGTTTATCACAATTTATCTGGAAGTGATAGGGTATCAGTTCACATACAGTGTGTAAGAATCTAACAACAATATACTTATATTTCTCCCCTCCTGGCCTTTGTACTGTTGTTAATTATATATTTCACTTCTACATATGTTATAAACCCCACAACAAATTATTTTTTCTTTAAACCATAAACTATATTTTAAAAGATTTAAATAAGAGAAGTCTTTTATATTTACCCACATGGTAACAATTTCTGGTAATCCTTCTTCCTTGGTGAAAAGATCAGCTTTTCATCTGATGTCTTTTTCTTCTGCTTGAAGGATGTCTTTTAACATTTCCAGTCATGTAATTCTGGGGATGAATTGTTTCAGATTGTATGTCTGAAAGAGCCTTCATTTTTGCCTTTATTTTTAAAATATTTTTTTACTAATATGGAATTCTAATTTGATCATTTTTCTCCAGAACTTCAAACCTACTGTTTCATTGTTTTCTGGCTTATTTTTCTGACGAGAAATGTGCTGTCTTTCACATCTCTGTTTCTATACATCATATGTCTTTTTATGACTGCATCTAAGATTTTCTCTTTATCACTAGTTTTAAGCAATTTGAATATGCTGTGTCCTTTGTAAAATTATGTTTCTTGTGCTTAAGTTTTGTTGATACTTTTGGATTTGTGAGTTTATATGTTTCATCAAATTTGGAAAATTTTTGTGTGTTCTTTCTTTTTTTGTTAAATAATATATTTTATTGATTATGCTAGTATAGTTGTCCCATTTACGCCCCTTTATTCCTCTCTGCCTGCACATCCCCTCGCACCCACATCCTCACCCCCCCCACTTTAGTTCATGTCCATGGGTCATACATATGTTCTTTGGATTCTACATTTGCTATACTATTCTTAACCTCCCCCCTGTCTACTTTCTACCTACCATCTATGCTACTTATTCTCTGTACCTTTTCCTCCTCTCTCCTCCTCCCACTCCCCTGCTGATAACCCTCCATGTGATCTCCATTTTTGTTGTTCTGTTCCTGTTCTAGTTGTTTGCTTTGTTTTTGTTTTAGGTTCAGTTGTTAATAACTGAATTTGTTGTCATTTTACTGTTCATATTTTTTATCTTCTTTTTCTTAGATAAATACTTTAAACATTTCATATAATAAGGGCTTGGTGATGATGAACTCCTTTAACTTGACCTTATATGGAAAGCACTTTATCTGTCCTTCCATTCTAAATGATAGCTTTTCTGGATAGAGCAATCTTGGATGTATGTAGGTCCTTGCCTTTCATGACTTGGATGGAATGCTTCTTTCCAGCCCTTTCTTGCCTGTAAGGTCTCTTTTGAGAAATCAACTGAGTGTCTTATGGGAACTCCTTGGTAGGTAACTGTCTCCTTTTCTCTTGCTGCTTCTAAGAGTCTCTTCTTGCCTTTAAACTTGACTAATGTAATTCTGATGTGCCTTGGTGTGTTCTTCCTTGGGTCCACCTTCTTTGGGAGTCTCTGAGCTTCTTGGACTTCCTGGAAGTCTCTTTCCTTTGCCAGATTGGGGAAGTTCTCCTTTATTATTTGTTCAAATAAGTTTTCGATTTCTTGCTCTTTTTCTTTTCCTCATGGTATCCTTATGATTTGGATGTTGGAATGTTTAAAGATGTCCTGGAGGTTCCTGAGCCTCTCCTCATTTTTTTGAATTCTTCTTTCTTCATTCTTTTCTGGTTGGATGTTTCTTTCTTCCTTGTGGTCCACACCATTGATCTGAGTCCCAGTTTCTTTCCCATCACTGTTGGATCCCTGTACATTTTCCTTTATTTCACTTAGCATAGCCTTCATTTTTTCATCTAATTTGTGCCCAAATTCAACCAATTCTGTGAGCCTCCTGATTACCAGTGTTTTGAACTGTGTATCTGATAGGTTGGCTATCTCTTTGTTGCTTAGTTGTATTTGTTCTGGAGCTTTGATCTGTTCTTCCATTTGGGCCTTTTTCTTTTTTTTTTGTCTTGGCACACTTGAGCCACGAAGGGTTAAGTGCCTAAGGCGGGTTCTGCTAAAAGGACTGTTGTGTCGACTGACTGACTGACTGACTGACTTAGAACATGCAGGTAAAATGCTGGAGTAACTCCTCCCAGTGTAAAAAGTCTACCCGTATCCACATAAGTGCAGTTCCTTAGAAGGAAGTACGTTCTCGGTGGAAGGGATCACAGCTCTTTTCTTTCCCTATTTTTTTAAATACTATTTTCTTTTCCTTTTCTCTCTTCTTCTAGACTCCAATCATATGTATATTAGGTTCTACAGCTCGCTGTTTTCATGTAAAAATATTTTTAGTCTTTATGTTTCATTTTGTATGGTTTCAATTGCTCTATCTTGACATTTACTAATTTTTTTTCTGTAGCGTGTAAATGGCTATTCATTTCGTCTGTGGACTTTTTATCCTAGACACTGTAGTTTTTATCTGCAGAAGTTAATTAGGGTTTTGTAAATGTTTTCTGTGTCTCTACTTAATATTATAGCTTTTGTTTAGATTCTCAAGCATATGGAATATAGTCATAAGTGTTTTAATGTATTTGTCTACTAATTCTATTATTTCTGTCATGTTTGGGTCGGTCATTTTTATTGTTTTTTTTTCATTATGGGTTCTATTTTCTGAATACTTGGAAGTTTAATAATTTTTGATCCGATGCCAGACATGAGTTTTACCTTATTGGGTGTGGGATATTTTTGTATTCCTATATAAAACTCCTCCATATTTAACCAGTGACCTGTGAGTTATGAAGTTTTCCATGCTGGCTGTGAAAATGTTCAACATTTTGCTCCATGTATGCTTCTGTTACCTTTAATATTTTGGGTCAGTTCTTTCTCTGTCCTCAGGTAGTTTCCTCATATGCACGTGTCAGTCGGTCTCTGTTGAACAGCCTACAGACCTTTGGTTTTCTTGCTCTGTGCATTCTCTTCTGCCTTTCCTGTGAAGTCAAGCTGCTGGCTCCTCCAGAGTTCCACCTTTATGTCTTCATCTCAGGAAAACAGATTCACTTCACCTGGGTTTACCCTCCCTCAGCTGTTGCCTGGAAATTTTTCTAGGCAGCCAGCTGGAGCAGTTGTATGGCTCATCTTTATTTGCTTTTTGTCTCTCAGAGATTTTTATCCTACATTGCCTGATACCCAGTATCTTTGAAATTGTTGCATCATTTTGCACAGTATTTTAGTTGTTTTAGGTGGTAAGGTAAATTATGACCCCTCGATTCTATTATGGTTCAAAGTGGAATTCCCTAATTTATTCTTACATAAACTTTTAAAAGTCTGGCCATTTAAAAAATTAGTTTGTACAGAACCTCACTTAGCTTCATGTCTTAATAGATTATGTTGGTGGTTCTGATATAACACATATTTAAACATTTTTGTTGTAGTACAGTGTTTTTAATGAAAATTTGAATCCTCTATAAGGATTTATAAGAATCAATATTATTTTGGTTTTGTTAAAATCATTGAAGTTTTGACAAACATAGGTAGCTGTTGGTAACTGATCGTGCTTATACATTTTTGTGTATTTATTTATTTACTAGGTCTTCATCCTCCGGGCCCACCTTTAGCAAGACCCATTCTGCCCCGAGAACGAGGCGCTTTGGATAGAATTGTTGAATATTTAGTTGGTGATGGTCCACAAAACAGGTAATGTTTACCAGGGTGGTAAACACATGCAAATGAAGAAAAAGTTTATTGGTCGTGGCGTATGTGTTGGGTGTGTATACACTAGATTTCTGTAGTTTTGTGGCTCTGTTTCCTTATTTTAAAACGTAATGGAATAGAATTTTATAGCCTTACATAAGAGTACATATTCAATAGTTTTTTTTAGTAGGAGTTTGGACAGTATTTAGATAAAATATAGAAAATATATATATATAAAACAAAAAATATTGTAACCCTATATATTATATATTAACCATATATATATACATACATACATATATATATATATATATATATATATATATATATATATTAACCCTATATATTATAATCTTACCCTAAGGTTATTTTTAGAGAAATTGATTCAATTCACTAAAACTTCTATATTTGAAGAGGACACAGGTAGTGAAAACTTCATAAGTTGTAAGAAATTGCATTTTATAGATGTCAGTACTGGGCTTGGTGATGGTAATAATTTTAATAACAATGAGGACAATTTACATGCATTAGGCACTTACAGGTTTCAAAATACTCTTCAGTTATTATCTTATTTGACCCTTACAGTACTTGTAGGAAGATAGGTATGATGTGAGTAAAGCAATTGTTATAGTAAAAAAAATTTAGAATAGTAGATATTTGACAAGGTTATTGGTTAATATTATCAATTAATTAAGGGACTAGAATTTAAAGTTAATATAATAAATTGTATGTTATTTAAAACAGAATATCTTCTATAAATATTTTGTTAAGTGCATGCACAGAGAATAGAATGACTCAATAAATAGAAAATGAGGAAGATGTTTTGAGTGTAACTGGGATAGATACAGGAATTCCGATGTACAGATATTAACCTTTGGACTAAACTAAACAAAATTAATTTCTTTAGTACAAGACTTCTCACTGTGAATCTCTAAGAGGTTCCATCTTATCTGACCATATACTTGGGTCAGATAAGATTGAACTTGGGTCATAGTATGACCACATACTCTGTCATCCCCAGGAATATACTTTAGGAAACACTGAAATTTAGGTGTTCTATTACCAAATGTTTCTGTTAACTTAATAAGGATATATTAATTTAACTGTTGCTTAGTTTATTTTTAGTATGATGTATATTATATGTTTAACTGGTTGAAATTTTGGCTGTTGCTATGTTTAGAGAGTATTATTTATTGTTAACTAAGAACATTTCATCTGTTATGACATATCTACATTAAAATATAAATTAGGTGTGATGGCTAAAGTAGCCTCTCCTGTGGACTCTGTTTGCATTTGTACCTAGTCTGTTTATTTTTCCATCTGGTTTAGGTATGCCCTTATATGTCAGCAGTGTTTTTCTCATAATGGCATGGCTTTGAAGGAAGAATTTGAATACATTGGTAAGAACTGATGGGCATTTATTTTAAATATTTTACTCTCAAATATTTTATTGTATGCCAGTCCCCATGTAATGTCATTTTATTTTTGGTACTGTCTCTGTATATTGTTGTTCAGGCATATTGTTCTTATTTTAGAACATAGACGAAGCAGGAAAGACAATTCGTATTTTCCTCATAACAATGTACAACCTCTAGGCCAGCTGTTCTCAAACTTCACTGTGTATCAGAATCACCTCAATAGCTTTTTAAAATTATGATGTCCAGGGCCCACGTACAAATGTTCTACTTGATCTGGGGTGGGGTTCTAGGCATCAGCATGGTTTTAAAGTTCCTTAGATGATTCTCATGTTACAGCCACTATTAAAAATATCATGCTAAATTAATTATGCTTCTCAAATATTACATACTACATTTTCTTGGGCAAATGAGTACGGTTCCAGGTTTAAAAATAGCTAATGGTTCTGGTGAATAGAAATGTAATTTCTGTAATATATTTGGGTCATTATTAATATTGTTTTACTGTTATTAGTTAACCTGCTATATAATTTATCTTTCCTGTTTTAAAATGAACATTCTAATAATACTTAGAAAGTATGCTTTAAAAAAAAGAAAAAGAAAGTATGCTTTAAAATTAGTTTTCTTTAGAATACTTGCAATAGTATTACTAAAAAACTATATGTAATTTTACAAGGGATGAATAACTTTTGAAGGGTTTTTTGACTATATGCAAAAGTAATTTTGAGAGTTATTTGATTAATCCTTGAGTTTTCTTTGGTATGGTTTTGTTTATTTTTTTTTAATTCTCTGCAGCTTTCCGATGTGCCTACTGTTTTTTCTTGAATCCTGCAAGAAAAACCAGACCCCAGGCTCCAAGACTTCCAGAGTTTAGTTTTGAGAAGAGGCAGGCTGTGGAAGTCTCAAGTTCAGTTGGTTCCTTGCCATCAGGAAATGTGATTTCATCAGAGAATCAGATCAGTGAAGGTATGAATATGTTAATTAAAAAGTTTTGTGTCTTAATAATGTCTGCTATTTAACAATAACAACATAATGCTTTTAAGTAAGCATGGGTTTATCAGATTTTGCAGCAGGCAAATATCATGCAAATGTTAAGCAGCATTCAGCAGTAGCTAGGTAAACATTGTTTGTGGAGTGACCTGTTCTAATAACTGTTGGGAGATTTGACAAGTAATGTTTTTATGGAATCATTTTTTCAATTTATTTAAATAAAGCAATTTATAAGAATTATGAAAAACTATAAGGGTAAAATTCTTACAAAATATATATTAGTAGAAGTTATCAGAAGCAGGCAACTTTGGAATTGCAAAGTCATCCTTGCATCCTTTAGGTGACTGTTGATAAGACTGGTATTCCTTTGATACAAATAATTTATCTTGGTCCATGAGACTAACATTGCTGGCACATGCCTTGATATAAATGACCTTATTTTAGAGAAAAAGAATTTATCAGAATTCATTGGGTTTTAGACTGCATTGGCAATTCTATTTTAGGAATTCTTGAGGAAGTTTCGTTAAAAAATGGAGAAGATGAGTTAGAAGATCTGACTATTAATTGCCAACTATTTCTTGCTGTTCATATGAGGTGAGGAGCTGCTTGTTAAGCAGCTCTGAATTATGAAGATTGCTAAGATTATGACACAGATCATGATATTTTGGTGCTATACCTGGCATAGGAAGAAAACTTGATATTGGGAAGTTTAATTCACATTATTTAGCAATTAATATTCATCCTTTTAAATTTCTAGGAATTATTCTTTATATATTTGATTTTTTAATAAAAGCATTGCATTTAAAGCAAAATCGCTTTAACCAAGAATAATATGAGACAGTGAATTTTCATATATCAGAAGTTTATTATGAAAATTCGTGTATCTTTGTTTTTTTTGTTTGTTTGTTTTTTTTTTTTTACTTTGAAGAATGAACCCATAATACATGTGTTGTCAGGCTTGACTCTTTGCCTACAAACAAATACCAGAATGAATTTAAATACAGGTAGCCATGACAAGAAGCCTGTATTCTTCCAAAACTGAATCAATGCGTTCATCTTCTCCAAGTCTGCAACATCAACTATCAACTCCAAACACAATACCAGACTTTTTCTGTTGCTTAAGTCATGCTCTGAGCTGCATGCTGTCACATTTTTCCTCAAATCATCTGCCTGGCCATTGCAGCCTCTTGGAACTGAGAAATGAAAGAATTTCTTACTGAAGATGCCTAGAGGAAAAAATTGAAGTTCTTGCCATGAGTAATCTTGCTTATGAAAGCTAAAATGAATATTTGAAAGCCAATAGTTGGGAGTAAAAGAAAAAGAAAAATCAGCCAACAAAATACAAATCTTGCTAATGAGTCCAATGCTTTGTATCTTCTGCTAAGGTCAAGATGGATAGTTAGCAAACAACACCCAGCTGTATCTTTCCTTCTCATCTAATCTAGGAGGAGCAATACCTCAGATGTCTCATTTTCTCTCTGAAATCTCCGGAATGAAGTCTAACTGGCTTATATACAAGCCTGATAAGGTAATATTAATAGATGAAGACAAAATCTGAGGCAGGGTCTGATAACTTCATAGTGCTAGAAACTGAAGCAGCGGTTCCATTTGGTTAAGGTAGTCTTTAGAGTAGTAACTTTTTCATATTTCTCTTTGGATTCATTAAAATGGCTATGAGCACCTTTTACTTCTTTGGCTTTCCAGAAGACTGAACTTTTTTCCAAGACTCCTGTCTCAACAGTATGATATACAGTTATCAATTCCAAGCTGGATTCCTTTAGTAAATGACTGGAAGGATTTCTGATGAACAGAGAAGCTGCATTTGTTTTGAACACCGGAGACATATCTTTATGATTAAATCGACACTGTTAAGTAAGATCCTATCATCTCAATCATCTACTCTCTGTGTTGACAGCCGATGTAATTGAGGGCTTAGAGTTTTGATTTCTACATTCTTGATGTAAACTTAAGGTCTGAAAAAAATCTTTCCTGCTATAATTTTTATATATTTTAGATATTGAAATAGCTCCTTGATAGCAGCAAAAACTATAGATTAGGTTATTGACTTTACCAATGGAAAAAGAAGGTAACTATTTTCCATCTGAATTTTACTTTCAACAAATATTCTAAAACCATTTATATGAATAATCTAGAATTAATAAAAGACACTTTTTAAAAAAAATTTATAATGTGAGACTTAGAAACTAAGTTTTGTCTTGATTCTGCTACTGGAAGATTTTGCAGTTAGAATGAGGCACAAGGCTTTTAAAATTTTTGGATCGCTCTTTAGAACAACATACAAAATCTTGGAAAGTTTTTGTCAAAGGAGATCTAGAAGAAACTTTCCCCATTAATTGCTCATTTGAATTGCTAGATTTTTTCCTAGAATTGTATATAGAAAATGCTTTGGTAATAAGAGTGTTAGAGAAACACAAGAAATTAGGACTATGGATTCTCTTTTTATTTAAGAATGTAGTAGATACATTGTGCCCTAGTAAGAACTGCTTTAGGTTCCTCTGTTTCTTTTATGGTCAAATGAATAGTCCATTAATTCCTGAGTCTCTGCTAGACCACATTAAAGTTGTTTATCAGTTTTGCCTTTTTAAAAAAAATATGCATTCCAAAACACTTGATATATAGCATTTTTTTAAAGATATGGTAAGAGAGTGTGAAGTTTCTACATTGTTAGTATACTAGTATAGTGATTTTAGGCCAGCCTGTTTGAAAAATGTTAATATTATTTTCATTGCTCAGTTGTATTTGTCTAGATTTTATGTAATTATTTTAAGAGAAGGTAGCTTTTGCGGGAGGGGGGTATAAAGGGACTTAATGGTAATGGAAAAGTACAATAAAGATTAAATTAAAAAAAGAGAATAGCTTTTATTCAACTGGAGATAACTCGCTAATAATAAACTTCATAGGATCTAATCAATACCATCAAAAATAACAAGTAAAATTTATATAAGGTGAAATTTGTCTTGGTAATTTGATTTCTTCCCTTCCTTTCTTTTATTACTATTGGCTTATGTTGAACTAGGGAAAATTCTATTTTATTGGTTGTTATAATGCTGTAGGATATTGAACTATTTGATGATGTAAATTTTGTTGTGTTCTGTATATTTACCTGACCTAAAAAGCTTATACCTTTATATTTAATTATGTAAAGTTTACTCAAGATGTAAACTTAACTGTAGTATGTTTATGCATGCTTTAGACATAGAGAATTTTGGCCTTGGGATTCCCTTTTCTAAATCACCTTCACTGAATAGTTTTCTATCATTGCTTAATTGATACATTCTTATTCATCTAATGGATCTGTTCACAAATGGTAAATAGAATTCTCTACATTGAATATGAGCTATTTTCTCATAGGTACTTTTTATTTAACTGAAGTTTATTTATTCATTGATCCACTGAGTTAAGTTTGAGATGAAATCCATGACTTGTTCCTTAAAATAAGCTGGCCATTTTCCTTAAGACAGAAAAATCTTGTAGTAACTTTTGTAAGTTCAAAGACAAATTTTCTATTTTAATTTAACAAATTTCCTTTGAGCAAATTTTATAGTCTATACTAAATACTGATGTGTTAGCTAGGCAGATTATTTTTGGGTATTGTATAAAGGAATAAAATATAAAGAATCTAAATGCATTCATCAAAATATGGAGAGTTTTCAGAGGCATAATCTAAATAGAATCATGTCATTTTCTTTGGAAATTATGTATTTCCTTTAGAATTAGGTGAAATTGTTTTGCCAGACTGTTATTTAATTTTCTTAGAAAATTATTCTCTGAAGAGCTAACCTAAAATCCTAAAGGCAAGTTGATGTTCTTACATGGTTTTGCATGTGTATGGCTTTAAGTGAGGCAGTGGGACTTTTACATTTACACTCAGTTTTATGATTCTGAGTTGTCTTGTTGAGTTGAGGCTTTCTCCAAACAACTAGAAGCTGATTTGATAGTAAAAGCTTCTCTCTTAAGGTTATTGGAAGGGGTAGGAGTGGGGAATGGAACAAATTTCATGGGTCATTTTTGTTTTATCATATTGCAATGTATCGTCTTCTTGGCATTACAGATGCCAAAGTTGATTTTCAGAATTTTCTTACAGATGGAATTAGATCATCGAGGTAACTTCATTTTAATTTTAGTCTAAAGTGGTATGACTCCAAAGGCTGATTTCTTTTTTAGTATTATATACCCAAATGTTGACATCTTCTGTAATATATTACCACCAAATAATTTTAAATTACAACTTCCCAGGAAAAAATTGTTTTTATTAGACCAGGCAAACAATACTTTCCCATAGAAATAAGGTATCTTTAGAATATGCTTAATGATATAATGCTCTGTGGTCTAGTTATTGAATTGGTAAGTATTTCTTTGTTCTTGCACACCTAGTTCATTTACATCTTATTTGGGTGACTTGTCACAAAATAGCATTGGCATTCAAACAGTGAATATCTGTCATTCAGAGTGGCCAATATCTGCATTACAGGCATCATGGCACATGCCGGTTTTTTGTAGTGTTACTGCTATTAAAATTACTTTTCTACAAATTAACCCTGGGAAAAGAGGAGTAGCCATTAACAAGTTTTTTAATTATGTTTAAGCCCTACCTATCATTTCACCAACTTTTGGTTTTCCATATCATCTCTGAAATACAACATAGTATTGATTATCAAACTTTGTATATAATTCCATTTTCTAATTATGACAGCAAATGGTATTTCTTAGAATTCATCTTTATAGGCATTAAAAATTTAAATATGGTAATTCTACTTTTTGTATTAATTGCATTTTTAAAATCCAAGGATTTTAAAATCAAATGAATTCAAATAGTGATGTATTTCTGAAAATAGTTATATCTTAATATGATGAACCATGAACTTCGAAAGCACTCCTGTTGAGTGCTCAGGCAGTCTGTCCGGCAGTGTAAGCAAACTGTGTGGGCCCATCTCTGTTCACTTAAACATGTTTATTGGTTAGTTGAGTTATGTATTCTGAGCTTTTTATTTTTTCATTTTGTGTGGCTTTATTGGTTTGCTTCAGAAGGGTTACTAAATTATAACAGATTGTAAGTTTCTTGGCAAGTAAGTATTGCTCTATGGCCAGAATTGTGGAAAACCATAACTTAAAATTCTATCCTGGATAAATTCTTTGAGGGTAGAATTACAAATGTTTGGTAATTCCTGAAGTTTTCTACTGAAGAACTTACTTGCCCACATAGCAGGAATGATCTACATATCCACAGAATTTCATTTGCAGTTTCTGCTTTTCCTTTGCACACTGGAACATTCGCATACCAAACTGAAATAATTTATTGCTTTTTACCTTGGACTTTTTAAAAGACTTAAAGTGTTAGAGCAATGCCATTTTAAGTTCCTTTTAAGGTAAAATAGTATTTTTGTGACATTTGGAACAATATATCTTGAGAACCATTCCTTACTACTTTTTGTGATTATATAAAATTTTCATATAGTGAAACTTCATTAACTTGGATGTTCCTAACTGTAATTTTGGCCTTCATCCTATATATAAAAATTGGAAAAAATTTTCAGTTAATTATATAAACTAGAGTCTAAAATATATGTTTATGGAAATAATTCTTTTAAAATATTTTTTGTTTTGGCACAAAGTGTGTGAGGTATGATTTGTATTTATTAAAACTGGTAGGGTAAAACAATGAATTTATAAAACTTCCATATTAACGTGTGTGTGTGTGTGTATATATATAGCACATGATTTCTTTGTAAAACTATTAATTAAATTTAGTTAGCAAAACATGCATACACACACACGTACATTGTACTATGTCAGTAACTGAACTAGAACTTTTTACTAATGTAGACTGGCCTCTCCTCCAGAAATCTTGGATCAGTAACACTTGTAGTATATTATAAGGGATCTTCTATGAGGGCAAATCTGCTTATTTGTTTAGCCGATGTGGTTTAACCATATTGTTGCTAGCAAGAATATTAGTTGCTATTTATTATAAAAACAAAACTGCTCCTGTCACTCCCTCCCCCATTCTTTAGATTTCGAAGAATTATAGGGCCTTTAATACAATTGTCATTATTATTAAATTATTATTAACGGATTTGAATTTAATTAAACTCAAAAATTTTCAGATAGGGACCAAAATCTTTTTTTTTTTTAAAGATTTTATTTATTTATCTTTAGAGGGGAAAGGAAGGAGAGAGGGAGAGAACTGGCCTGCAACTCAGGCATGTGCCCTGACTGGGAATCGAACCGTGGTTGCTTGGTTCCCAGGCCCGCACTCAATCCACTGAGCTACACCAGCCAGGGCGGACCAAAATCTTTAATTAGTTTCTGTTGTAGAGACAGGGACAAAAGATCCTTCTCTTTCCCTCCCTAGCATTATAGATATGAAGCATATTCAGACCCAGATGTTTAAATGCTGAGGACTTCTCTTGCACAGAGGGATGAGGGGAGACTTCTCATGCCTTTGGGAAAGGTGGATCCTGACTTACTTCTAAGTCCTTGGATAATAGAGATGTAAATCAGTGTGGGGAATAGCACTGCCTGTATACATGCGAAGGTGCATATTTATGTATTGCCCGCAGGGTTACCTGGGCACAAGGGAGTCAGTTCCTTCAGGAAACATAACCTGAGAGTTAATACCTTTGCTTTGTTTGCTGGACTATTGTCTTATAGCACATAATTCTATTGCCGTATTGTTTGATTTGACATTCAACTTTCAAATATGTCTTCAGGAAAATTCCTAAGTATTATGAAAGTTCCTAAATTTTATAAAAATAGGGAGCTTTAGATAAAAGTATGTTATGGGTTTGTTTCCTTCAAATTGTTTTTTCCCTTCATCCATACAAATTCATATATAATAAGCTATAGGAAGTTAAGTATGCATTTTAAAAGATTTTTAAAAAAGATTTTTAAAGATTTAAGATTTTACTGTTTCTTAGTTCATGTATGTGTGTGCTTATGTTGTGCTTATCTTTTGCTTATCTCTTAGCAATTTAACACTCAGGTATTTCTGAAGTCTTGACTCCTTGTCTTTTCAGAATCTGTAGAAGAGCAAGATGTTTCTGATAGCACTACAGAGCAGACAGAGGACACAGTAACAGATACAGAGCAGACAAACGAAGGGGTTGAAAAAGCACCTGGCACAGAGGAGCCAGTGGAGAAGCAAGAAGAGGCCGAGAATGAGGAAACCTCAATGAATGAAGCCAAACCAACAGTTCCTGCAGCTGATTCTATTCCTAATCCTGAACTAAGTGGAGAATCTTTGTTGACAATGTAGTAAATGCTTCCACGTGCCTTCAACTGGATATTTGTAGTTTTGCTGATGTCAGTTACTGCTTTTTAGGTGGTGCTTTTTTTTTTGATATGCTCAATATCATTTGAATTCAGATTGCCTAGCTATTTTGATATGTCAGAACTATTATCTACTAAATATTAAAACTAAAAGCAAGTGATATCAGTGAAGTAAGATCCTTTTGAATGTATAAAGACCCACACTGTTTAGACAGCTTTTGGAAATTTTTTCCACCCTAAAAGTAAACAAACCTGATAGCATTCTTGTATTCTATATGCGTGACCTGTAAATATTATTTTGACATAGGAAGAACTTTGGTTAGGAATAAGTTCTAATAGTGTTTGTTTTAAGGAATGAAACTCAATTAAGATTTTTAATACTTCATCATTAAAAATTGATAGAATTTTTACTCTCAAGATATTTGCCAGGGGGGAAAATGTCTGTTTAGGCATTTACATTAAGCAGTATGAAAGTTTTAACTATAACTAGGTATTGGTATGAAATCTTGGTAAAAATGCAATTGAAGAATCAAGTGCAGTGTTTCTTTTGATGTCTCTTATTTTGCAGCTGGGCCAAAGGCACATAATGTATATAATTAGCATATGTTTACATATAACATATAGGAAATATTTCTGCCCTTGACTGTACTTGAATTCTGAGCATTATTTATACTTGTAAAATAATGATATTATAAGTGCATTTTGTGCTCTTGTGTGTATTTTGTTAAGGAAAATAAAGGTGATCTGGTAGTAATTTCTTTTTATTTTTACATTTACTTAAAAAATTTTTAAGTATATTTTATTGATTATGCTATTATAGTTGTCCCAGTTTTCTCTCCCCTTTCTCCCCCTCTGCCCTGCATGCCATCCCCTACACTCCAGCATTGCCCCTCCACCTTAGTTCATGTCCCTGGGTTGTGTATATACGTTCTTTGGCTTCTCCATTTCCTATAGTATTCGTAACCTCCTCCTGTCTGTTTTAGGCCTACCAATTATGCTTCTTATTCCCTGTACCCTTGCCCCCCCATTCTCCCCCTCACCCTCCCCACTGATAACCCTCTATGTGATTTCCATTTCTGTGATTCTGTTCCTATTCTAGTTGTTTGCTTAGTTTTTATTTTTGTTTTTTAGGTTCAGATGTTGATAGTTGTGTGTTTGTTATCATTTTACTGTTCATAGTTTTGATCTTCTTTTTCTCAGAGAAGTCCCTTTAACATTTCATATAATAAAGGCTTGGTGATGATAAACTCTTTAACTTAACCTTATCTGGGAAACACTTTATCTGCCCTAAATGACAGCTTTTCTGGATAATTTTGGATGTAGATCTTTTGTCTTTCATGACTTGGAATATGTCTTTCCAGCCCTTTCTTGCCTGTAAGTTTTCTTTTAAGGAATCAGCTGATAGTCTTATGGGCAATCTTTGTGGGTAATTCTCTCCTTATCTTTAATCTTGGGTAACTTAACTATGATGTGTCTTGGTGTATTTCTTCTCAGATCGAATTTCTTTGGGAGACTCTGAGTGTCCTGGACTTGCATGTCTATTTCTTTTTTAGGGAAGTTTTCCTTCATTATTTGTTCAAATAAGTTTTCAATTTCTGGCTTTTCCTCTTCTCCTTCTGGTACCCCTATAATTTGGATATTGGGCATTGGAATGCTTAAAGTTGTCCCAGAAGTTCCTCAGCCTCTCCTCATTTTTTTGAGTTCTTGTTTCTTCATCCTGTTCTGGTTGGAGGTTTATTTCTTCCTTTTGTTCCAGATCATTGATTTGAGTCCGGGTTTCCTTCCTGTCACTGTTGGTTCCCTGTATATTTTGCATTATTTCACTTTCCATTGCCATCATTTCTTCCTTCATTTTTCTACCAAATTCAGTCATTTCTGTGAGCATCCTGATTACCAGTGTTTTGAACTCTGCATCTCATATGTTGTTTATTTCCTCATCACTTAGCTCTTTTTCTGGAGCTTTGATCTGTTCTTTCATTTGGGCCATGTTTCTTTGTCTCAGTGCACCTGTTACACTGTAACCAGTGGAGCCTTAGGTGCTTGTCAGGTTGAGGCAACCCTCATCCCTGTGTTGTGGTGCTGTATATGGGGGAGAGGTCAGAGGGAACAGTGCCACTTGCTGTCTTGCTTGGTTCTTGCCCCACCTTCCATCACTTCCCTCGCTTCCCACAAGTGGATTGTGCCCATTCAGGTGCTGATTCCTGGGTTGGTGGGTTTGCACACATTCTAGGATGCTGTGGGCCTCTCCAAACAAACTCTCCTGTGAGTCCAAGAGTTTCTCCCACTCCCTCAATCCCCACAGGTTTTTACAGCCAGAGGTTTTGAGGCTTATTTCCCCAAACTGAAAGTTAGGTTGTGTGCTCTCACTCCCCAGTTGTTCCTCCCAGCTTATCTGCATGTGAATGTGGGAAGTCACATCTGCCAGCTGCTGCCTCACCTGCCTCAGTTCCTCTTTTTTGTTAAAAATCTAGACTTCTTTAGACAGAATCTTGGTGAATAACTTAGCTGCCTGAAAAGTTTTAGTAGGAAGAGCTTACCATGCAGTAAATCTATAAATACTACTGAGGGAAAATTATGATGCTTTTATGGGGATTTGTTACCTTTTGAATTCAGAGAAGTAGTGACAATTAGAGATTCTAATCAGATTCAGTTTCTTTGATTCAGGAAAACCATAGGCCATTTGTAATTTTTAATTTTGAGAGATACATAAGTTTTATGAGAAAAAGAAGTTTGTTACTGGTAGTTCATTGGATTTAATGTGTATTGAAGATTTACTGGGGTCCTGGCATGTGTGGCTCAGTGGTTGAGCATTGGCCTGTGAACCAAAGGGTCGCCTGTTTGATTCCCAGTCAGGGCACATGCCTGGGTTGCGGGCCAGGTCCCCAGTGCCCGGGCGCCTGAGAAGCAACAAACCACCTACTGATGTTTCTCTTTCCCTCTTCCTCCCTTCCCTTCTCTTAAAAAATAAATAAATAAAGTCTTTAAAAGATTTACTGGGAAAAAACTTTGACCCAGAATGGTAATTCTTGCACCTTAAATACAGTGTGGTTATGTTTTCTTTCTTTTACCTCTATTATTCATTATTTAAAAAATTGAATTCAAGGTATTATGAGAAAAGGAGAAATATATACGAATGGTGTATATGGCCAATATTTCTAAGTTGTACAGTTTATTAAAATTTAATAAAATTACATTTTTATTTAAAATTCATCTTCATGTTTATTAAACCTTACATCTGATAGGTATTTTTAAGAAACCCTGCCTGTTAATCGTCTGAAGCATTGCAGTATAGTGAGCAGAGTGTTCAAGGTTACAGAGGTTGGCTTAAATCCCAGCTCAGAAGTCTTGAGCACGGCACCTGATCTCTGTGACTATTTTTTCGTTTGTAAAATGGGAAGAATAATACCTATTTGGGGGTATGAGGATGATTGAAAATAATTTATGTAATGTGCCTGCCTCACTGTCTGACAATTAATAGATACAGTATTAATTAAATGGTAGTATTTTATATTATTGATAACCTTGTGAAATATGAAAGGCCCATAAATTCTTCCTCTTGCAGGTAAGGAAATGAAAAAAATTATATGAGCATTCAATTCAGTGGCTCAGAATCAAGCCAATGTATCCTTCGTCAACATCATATACATGTATATAACTATATGGATTAAGGAAATAGGAATTTAAAACTAAGGAATATAGGCTGTATGGAATATCACCTTTTTCTATGAATTTCATCAGGTTTTAGTAACACTGTGCTGATTTTCTTGGTATAAAACATTCAAATTCTGGTACACAATTCTTGAAAATACCCCAGAGAAATATAATTTTGTGATAGAATCAAGCAAATATGAGAATTATATTTGAAAGAAATATGGAAGACTAAAAGGGGGTTAGTAAAATTAATGTAACAAGTAACATGCCATAATCATATAGTTCCTTTTAAAGTAGAAAAGTTTATTCTGATATTATTGTAATAAACAGTTCATGGTTGAAAGAGTGGTGAAATGTTCTATTCTGATTATGAAGGCTGGTATAAATGAGGAAAAGCAAACAACTAAGCTCTATTAGCTAGAGTGACCTTAACTTCCTTATTTACATACTTGACAGGCCATCATCTAAACCTTTCTCACTGTGCTCTCAGCATAATCTACAAAACATGGTCTGGTTTCACTCCATCCCTCCCTCACCAATATGCTATAGTCTCAGAGTTCTGTCAGTTTTCTGACCACTCTAAGCCCTTTCCTGTTTCAGGTCTCAGTTTAAATCTTCCCTCTTCAGAGAGAGAGAGATGCCCTCCCAAACTCCCTATCTAAAGTGGTCTATATAAAGTGCTTTTTACTCCCTGTTATGTCACTTTAATCTCTACTATTCCAAATAAAATAAGTGTTTTGTTGATTAGTTCACAGTTTATCTTCACAACATCAAATCTGTGTGTGCAAGGCCCTCATTTGTTGTATTTATTATGGCATCGCCGCAGCCTAGCACAGTGCTTGCTCAACACACGTTTGTTCTGTGAATGAAGAATTTGTTGCTAGATCAGTGAAAGCTCTCAGTCCTTATTTCACTGCTTCAAAGTGTTGACATTGCTGAGCACTCCCTTCTGTTTGAAACACCCTTTTTTTTCCTTTTGAATTTTGAGTTCTCACACTATTCTCATTCCTCAGCTTCCTCTTTTTCAGTGGCCTTTGCAGGCCTTTCTTCCCCTGCCCATCCTTTAAACGTTGCTGTTCCATAGTTTCTACCTAGTGTCAGCACTTCTTTATTCTACATACCCTTTCGAGGCTCTCATCAGCCTCCATGGACATAATTTCCATCTGTCGCTCTCGATTCGCCCACCTCCAGCCTTGATCCGTTTCCTTCACTTCAGAGCACTAGATTCACCTGCCTGCTGGAATGTCTCTCATAATCAACAGGTTAAAAAATGAACACTATCTTCTCCTTCAAACCTTCAAAACTTTCGAACCACCTGTGTTTCTCATTCCATCAAATAGAGCAATTATTCAAGCCAGAAACTAGAGTCTGTCTAATTCCTTTCCTCTTTGTCCTGTATCTTAACTCAATTTCTGTCTCATAAACATCTTCCAGTTATTGTCCTCATTTCTCTGTCCCATTAACAATACATTAATAATAAACATTTGCATTCTTACTCTGTGCTGAGAAACATGCTATTTACATGTATACTTTTATTTGTTCTTTGGCAACAACCCTGTGAAAACTTACCTGGATTATAGAAGAGAAAGCTGAGGTGTAGAGACAGTAAGCAAGTTGGTAAGTAGAAAATCTGTCTGCAGACTTGGCCCTTGTGATCTATTCTGTGCTCTGTAGGCTGAATGAGTTTTCAAAATTAGAAATTAAATTGTACCACCACGCCATTGCTTAAACCTTTAAAATATTATTTGGTTTTGGGAAGAGGTCTAAATTTACTAACATGGCCTACAAAGCCTGTGTAATTTTGCTGCTAATTACTGCTGGCATTTCTCACCACAATACTGCCACTGTCCCCTGCTACCCGCCTCCCACACTTTTATTGTGGCTATACTAATGTTTTCTGTGGTTGGCATATGCTAACTTTTTCTAATACCTAACCTCCTTATGCCTTTCTTCTCTCTACCCGCAGTATTCCCCCACGCACGTAGGCACAGGGACACTCAATAAATAGTTGTTACATTGAATAAGTCCAGTTAGGACCCAAATTTGGGCATTTTGCTAGTTGTTCAATTATGCCTTTTATTCTTGAAATTGGTCTTTCTCATTTTATGCTTTAGACACAATCATTATTGTTATGGAGAACATAGTGAGTCAGGAGAGGTATAGCTTCCTGTGGGTGTTGTGGGGGGAGATTTTAATTAACTAATAATATTTATTTAATACTCTTTGCTGAATGTCAAATGTCAAATGACTGGAAGCTAAATGACTTACAAAAGATTACGGGGCCCTGGCTGGTGTAGCTCAGTGGATTGAGCGCGGGCCTGCGAACCACACGATCGCGGTTCGATTCCCAGTCAGGGCACATGCCTGGGTTGCAGGCCGGTTCCCTGCAGGCCAGTTCCCAGCAGGGGACGCACAAAAGGCAACCATACATTGATGTTTCTCTCCCTCTCTCCTTCCCCCCCTTCCCCTCTAAAGATAAATAAATAATAAAATATAAAAAAAAAAAAGATTACGGGGATAACTAGCGTGTCAGATAAGCCAGAGCTTCAGATCCCAACTCTTCATGCAAGATGCTTTATGTCGAAATGCCAATTTTACCCTCTAGTCAATACTCATGCTAAAAATAACTTTAAAAATGTAACATGTTTACTTCTATTTCCAACTGATGGCAAGTACTTAACTCTCTTAAAACTTATAAAATTTTTTCTTATAATACTGCTTTATAAAATTACAATATTACCTGTTGGATTATGTGCAAATCAGTCAAAGGGTCAAAGAATGGTGATAACTTGTGGATAGATTTTGAAACAATCATGGAGAACAGAGATGCCTTAGGAAATTGGAAGAAAATGTAGTGTTATTATCTAATATAACTTTATTGTTATAATTATATGAGATTTAAATATAGTTCATGAGCTACCAAAGAGCTATTAAAAATCGAGTACTTACATAAAGATGAAGCAAGATAGAGTTGGTTGCGAGTTGATGGTTTGCCAAATCTTAGTTTGTACTTTGACTTTCCTCAAAATTATTAGATATAAATGTATTAAGTCCATCCAGTTAATAAGTAAATATATTCAGGTTCTCAGTTTAGGTAAATATATAAAAATAGAAAAGGGCTTTTATTGGAATGTAAACAATAAAAGACGAGTACAGACTGAAAATCTAATTAAATTGTATCAATCTACAAACTATTGTCTCAGTCTAATTTCTTTCCTCTTCAGAAACCACATTTTATGCTTTAATACTATTTAAAATGCCTTTTTAGAAATTGTTGCATTTACTGGATAGTAGATGTCCCCCAGTCGCCCTTATTCAGTTTGCCTTTTTGATGCTGTTTACTTTCCCATTCTTTCTCCTTTCCCCTCCAGGCTCCTGTTGTGTGTGGTTTAATTTGTGCTGCTCAGGGGCTTTAGAAGAAAACACTATCCACTTCAATCGTTCTATATTATTTGATGTTTTTTAAACCTAGATTTTTCTGCTTTATGTATTATTCTCTAGGTTTTTAAAAAAAACACTTATACCATCCTTTTTCCTTGGCAGCAAACTTGATAGAAGTTGGAAGCACTCTGAGAAGATTAAAAAGTGTTCTCAAAAATCTCCCTCATAAATTAGTTTTTTAAGTTCTTATTCCAGGATTATATAACAATAAGCCAAATTTTCAGCTGCCAAAGACTTTTACCAGATCTCTGGCACTTAGTTTAGGAAAACTGGGAAAAATAATTTGTTTTTGTGAAAATAAATATTTCTAGTTAGTCTGATTTTGACGGGTGAAGAAAGTGAGGAATTAAATGAACATTTTTTGAGTGCTCCTCTTGGTCAGGCACTGTGCTCCGGGTACTCTGGTACATTCTCTGTAGTTCTCAGAACAGCCACGGAGGGGATGGAATCCCATTGAGCAGGAAGCAGGTGGGGATACATGGAAGAGCCTGGGCTGTTGGGGGGAGGAGGGGGCTGGATGGAAGAAGGAGAGGGGATTTAAAAAAACAAATATAAATATATATATATCACAAAGACACAGACCACAGTGTGGTGCTAGCCAGAGGGAAAGTGGGGTAGGGGAGGTGGAGGTGGGCAAAGGGGAGATGAAGACGGAACGAGACTTTGCTTGGGTGTTGGGTGCAGTGTGCAGATGATGCTTTGTTGAGCTGTGGGCTTGAAACCTGTATGGTTTTGTGAACCAATGTCACCCCAGTAGATTCAATTAAAAAAATCATCAAGACCTCTTAATTTGTGGATATTGTAAATGGACTTGGAACCTAAAATTTTGAAGTCCTTGTCTGTTTCAATACCTATGAACTTTCTCCTTTGGTAGCTCCAAGAAATAGACTAATGTTCTTTTGGGCTCATATTTTTGTGATAACTCAAGTGTTACTTCATCAGCTGCCTCTCAGCCGAACATTTGTCAGACTCTCCACTCATACACCCTCCCCTTGAAATTCTTTCATAATATGAAGGCAGGGCTGTATCTGTTTTTGTTCATCATTGCATTCCTAGTGTCTGGCCTATAGGAGACAAATGATCTGTTGAATGGGTAGTATGCGTGCATGCGCACACTTAACACAGAATGGGAAACACTGCTGTAGTCTTAGTGCAGGTTTTATAGTTTGGGAAACTTTGCAAATCTCAAATTAGTTGAATTATTCAGTAGGGAAAGGGCCAGATAACTTTTTACTGCTAATTTAGGTAAATTCCAGTTGACTCCTTTGTCTTCTTTCTTATTTTAATCCATTGTTTACATTGCTGTTAGACTTTGCGAAAACACAAATTTTTCAAAATATTCTAAGGCTCATTTGTGGATTGCTGACTCCTTAGGTGGTGTGTAAGGATGCCCTTCAGAAATTAAATTACTTTTCCAGACCTCCCACTACTCCTCCCCATGCACTGATCAAAGATACTTCGTGCTTCTGAGAGATGCTGGGCACTGGCCTTCTGTGATGCTATTCTCGTTAAACTCTCATGTCTTTAAGTCCCAGCTTTATCTGTAATCTTCCAAGTGACATCTTTGTCAGCTTTCCTACACAGTTATTTGCTTTTTGTTCCCCTTGCACTTTATGTGCACTTTATACACTATATGTGACTTGTAGTGCCCTGACTTCTTGCTGTTGTTGGCCTCCCTCATTTTACCGTACACACTGAAGTTAGACAGTGTTTCTCAGTTTTTTTTTTTTTCCTCTTCAAACAACACAAATTGAAATGAACCTAAAACCTGGTATGGTGTCTGCTACATGTTTGTTGCAGTGGCGTCCAGCCTTTTGGCATCTCTGGGCCACACTGGAAGAAAAGTTGTTGTGGGCCACACATTAAATGCATTGCAATACGTAGGCACACACACACACACACACAACAAAACAAAACACCCTCATAACGTTTTAAGTAAATTTACAATTTTGTGTTGGGCCTTATTCACAGCCATTCTGGGCCACCTATGGCCCTGGGGACCGTGGGTTGGACACCCCTGGTGTCTAGAGAGTAGATTCATGTAAGTTGTCAGACCCAGCTTGGTCAGCACTAGCTAGTGGTTGGTGTGCTGTTTCTATCTGGAGCTCCTACAAGTAAAGGAATTGGGACTAGAAAGTGAGAAGGACTAGCTCAAGATATGAGAATGTGGAAACTGTGAGTGCACTGATGGGAGGGAGGAGCCATTCAGTTTTGCATTCTTAGTGCCAGGCATAGATGCTCAGTAACTATGAATAGGCTGAACTGGAGATGACATAAGAGCCAATATGCTAGGGTGGGATTCCAGGGTAGAAACTCTTTCCTAGTTCACATGAATCCATCATTTGGATTTGTTTGAGTTTAATTTGGATTAATTTGAGTTTGTTTAATTAGCTCCCATTCTGGAAGATTCCTACACACCCTGATCCCATATTTTACTTAGCTATGGAATGGGGTATTGAACAATCTTTTTTAATTTTTAATGTTTATTATATCATTCCTGACCCATTTAATGTTATAACTGGCATCAAGTTAGGAATTTTCTGGGTAAAGTTGCTGCTTTTTGACACTCTCTGGTGGAGCCTGGATACACACACATGCTTGCACTCACACAGTATAAGAAGATTATTTTTGCTTTCAGTATATAGGCCATCAGAATTCAAACCTTAAAGTTGAATACTTGCCTTAAAAATCATTAAAAGGCAATGCATACTGTACATGGCAACTATAATTAAAACTTGCACTAGTGTGGTATATTTTTATGAATTACAGTCACTCTGGTTATTCATTATTTTTTTCTAAAAATGAAATAAGCAATTTATGCCTTGCCGTCTATAGCAAGAATTCTAAAGCCTTTGCCTACCTGCCAAGTACTGACACATTTTATGAAATTACAGTGGTTTGCTTTAAAAAATTATTTTTCCTAGGAACAAAAAGGGATCAAATTTTGGAATGAACTTATATTCTCAATTATGACTGTTCACACAGCCAAAGAATACATAATTTTTGGATTAGGATGCTGTGAATTTTATAAAATAATCTAAATTGAGTACAATCTGAAATAAAATTGATATGCTTGAAACGTGCTTTGGGTGGATGTCGTGGATTGTTTTCCACACATTTTTTTCTTTTGGTTTTTGAAGCCCTGGATTCTTCATGCAGGTTTGTATGAACATATGTTCATATGATCATCTTTCTAATAATGAAATCTTCTGTGGCTGGGCCTAATGAAATGAAATGATGTTTGATTTATTTAAGGACAGTTGCCGCCATTGCCGAAGAGGGGGGATTTTCTTTCCTGCTTTCCTCCCTCCTCGTACCCTGCCACCCCTCCCCCCAAACAGCAGCTGTTCAGGTTTTAGTAGATTCTGATAAGACCAATGTATCCACCCAGCAAACAATTGTAAGTAATAGTTTGAAGCAAACCTGAATGTCCAGCACTCCTTTTAGGTCAGGCTGGCACAAAACTACTAAACTGTGTCAGGATGGGAGTGCTGCATTCTTGGAGTTAGAAGAGAGGTAGAAAGCAGATGACTTGCCTTCTAATCAAGTGCCTGGATTTGAGGCTGCCATGGTCCAGACAACTCGCAAGAGGTGCAGTGGCTGACACTTCTGTTTTTAGCAGTACCTCCAATAGACATGTAAACAATCCAATTTGTGCATTATAGGCTTTATTATTTCTAAAGAGTGATTTATGTCCTTATTTCTGCATTATTGTCCAGCAGGCTCTGCCCTCTGTCAGAGGGCTGGTTCTATCTAATTTTTTAGACCTTTGTCTTCATTAGTACAGCAGTTTTAGCTTGTGATCATTGTACTAGACCTCACTGATGAGCTGCAACGGTATGGGATTCATGGTGCTGACATCTCACCTTGCCGCTGGCTTCCTGACCCTCCTGCTTCTGAAACATGGGTTCATTTTTTTTAACCCAGGGTAGAGCTCCATCTATTTTTCACGAACATTGTGGGCAGTTTAAAGGTTGGTCAGAATCAAATATTGTGCTCTCAAATTTGATAATGTATGAGTACAGAAGGATGCCCTCTGCTACACAGTCATACATCAACATGACACAGGCAGGAACTGCAGCGATTACCATTATTGCACCGAAATGGCGCTTCGGTTTCCTCCTTCAGAGCAATTACTGCAAATGCAGAAATGCATTTAAGTTCTTATGATGAAAGTGTAAAAATTAAGTATCTTTAGGACTAGTCCTAATCTATGCACTTATTTTTAACATGAGCTTGGATTTCAGAAGATGCAGTAGTTTACTGCCAAAAGATGTTACTCGCTGACCTGAGAGTATTAGGCAGATAGTTGTAAAGCTACTTTGTGTTTTAGGAATAGTTTGCTTTTCAAAAGGGTTAAATGCTGTTTTTGAACAAAAGAGTTTTACCGTGTATGTTTTAAAATATGATGAAATCTGCATCCAGTGGTTATGTAAAGGATACTAGTGTTGACAAGGAAGGCCTTTGAGTGTGGCAACAATCAGCTTCGTGTAGCCTCTGCCAGCATCTGTGGGATCACTGCGCCGGTGTTTTAATTTACACAAGCATTTCTCTTGTAGTGAGCACCTTCTATGTATCAGGCCCTGGAGATATTAAGTGAATGAGACATCGATGCTACTTACTCTCGGGAGTTGACAGTCTAGTAGATAGATGCCTTCAGTCTCACAGTTCAGTCCTATCTTAAGAAGTCCCAA